ATGATGAAAAGCTCATGCTGAGATTTTCAAAGGAGCCCAGGGGAGTTGGGCCCTCAAACCCCACTGAAATTCACTGGAAGGGAGCACCACAATCCATTCCCCAAGCCTTCCAAAGATTACCTGTCTTGTACCTCTCCAGATTAATTTCTCCCTTCCCACCATTTCTGAAAATCAAGGTGTTTGGGTGTTAACTGATTGCCTCTCTTTTAATACCCATCCTGCTTCTTGCCTGAATCCTGCCCTGACATTGGGTCACAGTCCTGCTGCTTACCTGAGGATTTTCTGAGTACGGAGCAGCATTCTCCTTCATAAGGGTTGCCAGGTGTTTGGTATTCACCTGGACAGTACGGTATTTTCACCGCCTGTCTGGTAAAAAAATTCAGAAAATACCAGACACCTAAAATGTTCGGTATTTTCTGTTTTTTTCCCCCTGCCAGGAGGCGAAAATACCAGATACCTGATAACCCTACACATACTCAGCAACCAGGCCCAGCTCCCACCCTCCCCCTCGGACCTCAGGTCCCCGGACTCTCCCCAGATTACCTGGTTCTGCAGGGAAGCTGCCTTCTGACTCCGATCAAGAAAACAAGATGGACACCGGCAAAAAGTGTAGAGTTTTCTTAAAGGGGCCATGCTGTTTTAATGCTGTTTTATTTGGAGGATTTTTTTTTTGCTTAACTCTTGGGATCCCTTTTTTTCTATTTTTTTCTCAACAACTTTGGTCTCCCCCCTTTTTTGTTCCCTCAACAGATTTTTTTCCCCAGTGGGGTTTTTTTTTGGTTGGGGGAGGGGGGGTTCAGTATTTTTTGCTAAACTATCTGGCAACCCTAGCTGTCTGTTTCTGTCCAAATCCAGTGAGGCTACAGTGAAGTATGTTTGAGGTCACCCGTGTTTCCATGAGAATTATTTTACTAGTGGTATAATCCTGAGGTAGAAGAAACATGCTGCTAGACCAGGCCTGGGCAAAATACAGCCCGTGGGCTGGAGCCAGTCTGCCAAGCTGCCGGATCCAGCCCAGAGAGGCAGTGGGGAGCCCTGGGCAGGCTCCTTTGCTTACCCCGAAGCCCAGCATGCTGCTCAGAAATGTGACTGCAGGGCGCTTTCTCTTTGAGTCCGGGGGGGAGGGGGCGGGAAGATTCAGATGATGCTCTCACCCCCAGCATAATCCCATTGGCCGGTTTCTGGACAGACACTGGCCAATGGGAGCTGCCTGCTTGAATAACAAGCAGCCACAAAGCACAACCCTACTGCTTACTCGCTCAAGCACATAGCTGAGCAGGCAAGCTCTGCAAGTCTTTAGCTCGGCAGGCAGGCAGGCAGGCTAGTAAGTCTCCTGGCAAGAACCTGGCTCTGGAACCTCAGCCCCTCCCTTTACCAACCCTCTGCCCCACACTCCTGCCCTGCTACTCCACATGCACCCATACCCCCTCCCAGATCTGGCACCCCAATCTCCTGCCCAGGATCACAATCCCCTCCTGCCCTAGGTCTCATCCCAAAACCCTGCACCCCAGTTCCCTGCTCTAGGTCACAACTACCTCCTTCACTCAAACTCCATCCCAGACCCATTCTCCCTCCTGCACCCTAATCCCTACCCGAAGTTCCCTTTTGCACCCAACCTCCATCCCCGTCCCTGCACCTCCTCCATTATCACCATGGAAAAGTGCGGCCCTTGAACACTTTCCAGACTCTTGGGAGTGGCCCCCATCAGAAATTACTGCCCACCCCTGCACTAGAAACAGAGGAGAGCAGTTCTGCTTGCGGAGCTGCACGAAGGGAAATCTGGCTGTGAAAGAAGCTTCTCCATCCCCTAATGCTCTGCACAGACGTTTCCATCCCCTTCACAGGAAATCTCTCTGGCGGCCAGGCCCTGTGGAGAGAGTGAGAATGACTTAACGGAGGGGAGGAGCAGACAGGGAACACTCAATCTGAAGTCCATATAATAACTGTGGTTAACGCTGCTTGCGGTGGCTTTCATTTTCCCCTGCTGCGCTTTGGAACCATCTTGGCAGGGAATACAGAGCTAAGTCAGTGCCAGTGCAGCCCAGCATCTGCTGTGCTGTCATCCCTGAGAGACTTGCTGCTAGAAGGGACCTTGTATCCAGCCAGGGACTTGAAAGCAATCGCAGCCTTAACTCCTTTAACTCCCCTTCTCCTCCCCGGCTTGTGTGCCTGGCAGTTCCGTGGCAGTCTGCACAGCCTAGCGTCGGGGTTGTTCTATTCCTCTCTGTGCATTCTTCTGCCAGAAAGTACCACAGGGCCCTACGTGATCAGGGACATGAATGGAAATACAGAAATGTAAGCGCAGTAAAATGGGACCTTCCAATACATGCCCAGAACTTCTGGGCCTTTCTCGCTAATCTGAATCCAAGGATGAAGTTTCACCTCAGGAAATGGATTTTCTTAGATTTATTTTTAAACATGCTAGAAGAAGCCTTTCTCCGTGTGCTCGAGGCGCATTGGGCATAAATTTAAAACGAACCATAAGTGTTTTAAATTAAAGATGACCCGCCTCAAATCTCCCTCCACCCTCACCCTTGAAATTGTACCCATGAACAAAGCAAATGCTGTGTTGGGGCTGATTCAAATCTCATTGAAATCAGTGGAAAGACGTAGACGGGTTTTGGATCAGGCACTATATGAATTGGACAGGATACAGGAATGTAAATCCCTGTGCTGCTTAGATAAATAGTTTCAGAATGCAGAATGCTCTAGCATGTATACTACTGTAGGCAGAAATATCCCTGTGCTGCTTAGATAAATAGTTTCAGAATGCAGAATGCTCTAGCGTATATACCACTGTAGGCAGAAACTCCAACAGTAATAATTCTCTCCCTGGTTTTCATTTTAAAATCACAATGCTTAACTGCCACCAGCAAATGGAAGGAGATGACCTTTCTTTTAAAGACTTTTGGATGCTCCTGTTGGCCAGAAACATCTGACTATAGTATTGTGCCACTTGTATCTCAGCGGTGAATAATTAGAACATTGGGATAATACTTGTGTAATTTCTCTCCATTAGCTTTCTGTCTCTTTTCATTAAGAATGCCATCTCTTTTGTTTTTGGAGTAATTACTGCATTGTCTTTGTTGCAGAAAAATATTTTACTCTGTCTAATTTGAAGTTTCAACCTCTCAAGAAGGAAGTTTTAGGTTATACAACTTTCAGAAAGTTTTGAGTTTTCTTAGAATTAAAAAACAAATTGTCTGCCAATGGATATATTGCCCTGAGGTCAGATAAATGATTTCCATTGCAAGCTTTCTCCTTAGTGGTAGAAAATGTGGCTCTTTAGATTGCCCTTCCTAATGTTATTTGTATTACTGTATTTATGATCTGATTTATTGTTGTTCCTACTTCGACTGAGATCAGGGCTCTTTTGTTCTAAGTCACCCTTACAAACACTGCCAGCCCCTGAGGCAAAAAGCCTGCAAGCTAAATAGACAGACAAAAGGTAGGAGGGGAAACAGAGCAGTGAAGTGATTTGACTTGAGTCATGCAGCAAGTTAGTTTCAGAGTTGGGAATAAGTCCAGGTCTTTTGATTCCCATTGCAATACTCTGTCTGGTGGGCCACAGAGCCCTGCTCCATTTTGTGCACACGGAACCTAATTACACAGTTCCTAATGCCAGCGTAGGGTTTTTACATGCACCTATTTGCTCATGTATGCAGCAGGGACACTTTCAAGTTTGGCTTCTGAAGCAGCAACTTCGTTATATCTCCTTGTCGCTCTGAATGCAAACATTGGTTTATTTTGCTCCCTTCTAAAAAGCCCAATAGAGAAGGAGTAAAAAACCTGGTTTTTGCCACATTGCAATTTTTTAAGCCAAAACTCAGTCATTTGGAAAATATAATTTAAAAAATGCTGATTCTGCTTCATTTTCGGTGTGTGTGTGTGAACGCAATGCCATATTCTCAATTCTTAGGTCATTCGTAAAGTCATCTCAGTTTGGTAGAGTAATAAAAAAAAGTCTCTGTGAAGTTTCTACCAGGGCTGGGCAATAAAGAGAGGGGAAAGGAGAAATCTGTGATATTTTTACAATATAGTTTTGTTTGTTGGAGGAAGGTTGTTTGTTTATTTCAAAGTTAGGGGGGAAAATGGGAGAATTCTGGAACTTAAAAATTTTCTACCGGCTCTATAGCTTGTGAGAAAATAAAAATAAAGACTTTCCTTTTTTTTTTCTTCAATTTTAAGATTGGAAAAAATTCAGTTCATTCTAATTTCCACATCATGCTTTCAACATAGACAGGACTTGATTCTCACTTCTCTCACTGTAAGAGTGTTCCTTGACTTCATCAGCAAAACTGAAAACAGTATCCGGTCCAGAAATTTTAGCACGTGCAGCATGCTTCTATTCATCTGTAGTACTAATGGACCTATTTTGTTCGGAATAACTTGGTTTTGCTGGTTCTCCAATAAAAAAAAAGTAGATTTGGGGGCCTGAGGCTGCCACTGTTTTCCACTCACACGTCCTCTTCTTGTCCATGGGAGTTGCGTGTAGATGAAATGTGTGGCATTATGTCTTTGCATGTGAATAGACACTCTCATAGACTCATTTATAACTAGTATAGAAGTATTTTCTAGTGAGATCCCTGTAGAGTATCTATGAAAGAAGCATATTTTGGCTTCTTGGAACTGAATAAGAGACAGAATGATGTCCAAGGACGGGCCACTCGCTTTTGAGTTGGGAGAGTTGGGTTCAAATCCTGCTCTTCCACAGACATTTTGTGTCACCTTGGACAGGTCCATGACGATCTCATTTTCCTGTCTGTAAAGTTGGGAGAATGCTACTTCCCTTCCTCACAGAGGTGCTTTGAGGCTCTCAGATACTGTTATGAGGGGAGTCGTGTAAGAACAGTAGACAGGGAAATGCTGAATGTCGCCCACCAAATGTTATTTAACAAGCTCTAACCTCTGTGAGAGATTTGTGAGGAAGCACAAACTATCATTAATGATACCACTGTGTTAGTGTGGTTTGTGATGTCTTTGTTGTTGTTTGAGCCCAGATAGGTAAAATCTGCATTGAAAACTGCATGAAGTTCTGTGGCGTAAACATCACCTACAGGTTGCTGCCCTCCAATGCCAGTTGCTATGCTGTTGGGATACTTCAGGGCCGGGAGGACAAGTATGGAAGCCTCTATGTGAATGACTCTTCTGTACTACACAGACCTGAATGCAAAGAAGTACAATACACGGTTGTTGCCTCAGACAAGCAAAGTAAGAAGCATGCCAAAACCCAGCTCACTGTTACTCTGGAGGGAACAAGTAAGTACCTGAGGTTCAGGGGAGGAAATCTAGTCAAATTATGTTGGAGTGCGGGCATCAACGATTTTTCTTCAAGGGGGTCCTGAGAACAAAAAGTTGAAAACCAATGTCCAGAGGATATGTGAGGAGAGGTATTGTGTTAGATAGAAAAGGAGTTTTGACAAATGCAATTGCTTTTGTTATAAACCAACATTAGCTCTGTAAGAATCCACACTGTGTGTGTGTTCTATACAGTGTATTTCATCTACCTGTATCCCTCTGCAGTTTTGTCACCTCAAAGCGTTTTTTCTTGCCAGAGAGGAATTTTTATAGTGCATTTGTAACAACCACCAAGGCAGATTTGAACCTGGGATCTTGGGAGCTGACTCTTTTCTTCCACTATTTGATCTGAGGAAGTGGGTCTGGCCCATGAAAGCTCATCATCTAATAAACCATCTTGTTAGTCTTTAAAGTGCTACATAGTCCTGTATTTTGTTTCTTGCCAGAGGCACCTTTCTCCGTATTTCTCCTCTAAATACTCATGCAGAATGTTTGGTATACAGATTTAGGTTTGTGCATAGAGTTGAATACATGCTATCGCAAAGAACAGTAAATGAGCCATTTCGCTTCCTTGTAATAAATATTCACTGTAGTGCATATGTAGCAATAGACACTCTCTCCTGGACTGAAGTTTAAAACTTCAAATCCACTCTGGAGGCACTGAAGTTATGCTAGATGCTTCTCATTTTGTTGTTCATGCTGTAGTCATAATCAAGCTGCTTAAAACCAGGCAGGGGACCATTACAGAAACAGATGGAGTAGACAGAATGGTAGTACGTGTACTCTATATTAGGGTTAAGTTCTCTTCCATTTGTTTCTTTTTTATACTTTCCATAATGTTTATGTCCTTATGGTAGCCTCAAAATATGTAACTCATGATTCTGCTGCACAAAGATGTCACTGTGAATTCAAATGGGCTTGAAACCATTTTTATTGTATTTATTTTTGCTGGTATATTCATTTTACTCAATCGTTGTCTAGTATTTACCACACTGGGCTCGTTGTAGCATAAGCATGCGGGTTTAAACTTCACAGAAAAGGGAAGATCTGTGTAAGTAAAATGCTGTAACATCTCCCTGGGTTACAAGAACAGACTAGGACTATACTGCAATCTACTAACTAAACCATTAGGTACTTTTTAAGGGCTTGTCTTCACTTACTAGGAGATCGATACTGTGGAAATTGATCTCCTGGGGTTTGATTTAGTGCACGTAGTAAGGACCTATTAAATTAATCACTGATTACACTCCCATAGTTAACCACCAAGTTGTGAGGAGGAAGGGAAGTCAACAGGAGAGTTTCTCCCATCGACTCCTATAGTGGGAAAGCCACAGAAATTCGATGTAGCTGGAGGTGTATATCTTAGGTAGACTTTCTCCCCTAGTCTAGTCCTGGACTTTGAGAACTCTTGTGCAGAACAGTTAACTCCCAGCCATTGATTGCCCCATTCCTTTGAGTTATGTAATAATGTGACCTCGGAATTTAAGTGTGGGGGCAGGCTGGGGAAATGGACATGGAGGATCAGTAGTGACATTCCTCTTGTCAGAGCTTTGTGTTAGCTGCGGTCAGAACCTCGCCTTGCCATCTGTTGTTTGCTGGCCCAGGGTTGCACTAGTGCAAATTCTAAGGCTCATGCCTTCATCAGCTGTTTTATTCTGAATCCATTGCTTGTATAATGAGTATGTTAGTGCATCATGTTGCCCAGGTATAATTCCAGGCATTATGCCCAGCAATCGATAGGGCTGAGGACAGATAATGCCAGCCCCTTGGGAAAGGTGCAGAAGTAGGGAAGCGGCTCCGAGCCCCGTCCTCCCAGAAGGGCCTGGGTCTTAAGCAAAAGGGGTGGGCTGGGGGCTAGCCTCTCCCTCCCAGCCTTTCTGCACTGTCTTGACTGTGCAGCCCGAGGCTCTGGCTGCAATTTAAAAGGGCCCAGAGCTCTGGCTGATGTCACAGCTGCAGGAGCAGCAGCAGCTGGGAGCCGCAGGCCCTTTGAAATGACCAGGCAGCTTCCCCCCTTGTACCCCCTCTGTCAGTGGCCTTGGCAATCAGAGCAATTCTGCCATCCCCTCCCCTATGATACTGAGTGGGGAAAATGTGACCAGTCTTTCTTCTAAAAATACTCAGGGAGAGGTCCTCAGAGTCAACTGTGAGCTCTCATTTTTAACCTAGAAAAAGGAATTTCTCCTTCTTTTAGCCCAGCTGCCTTGCATGTGTATTCACCTCTGCCGAGCCATCTGCTGAGGCCTCACAATCGCTTGCTTCCGTTCCATGCAGTTGTAAAGAAAGAAGAGGACTGCCCTGAATCTTGTGCAGTTAATAAGCATCGGGCCGAATGTGAAGAATGTGGAGGTGTCGGCGTGCTAACAGGAAAATGCCAGTGGAGACAGGGAAGTGGAAAAGGTACCCACTTGCACTGCACGATTAGCCAGATTGTCGGCTGATGTTAAATTAGAACAGCTCCATCGATTATAATGGAATTGGGCTGATCTGTGCCAGTAGAAGAGCTACCCATAGCATATTAAATCACCCAGAACTTTTAGTATAAATAATGCACAAATTAAACCTGCTGAATCGAGGACAGCAGAGTTAAGGGACAGTCATCATCATGAACCCAGTCCCATCACAGCACCTGCAGGTACGAAATCAGCAATCAAATACAATCTGTGGGATGCAGCATAACCCCTTGCAATCTTGAGCTGAGGCCATGTCCCCACTTATCAAAGAATCAATGCTCTGGCAATTGATCCTCCGGGATTTGATTTACTGGGTCTAATAAAGACCTACTAAATTGAATACTGAGGGCACCCCTGTTGGTGCCAGTATTCCTTGCTGTTGGAAGAGTAAAGGAAGTCAATGGGAGCCTTTATCCCATTGACCTCCCTCTGTGAGGACACCCCAGAAAATCTATGCAAGGTACATCGACTCCAGCTATGTAATTCACATAGCTGAAGTTGCATATATTGCATCAATTTCTTCTGCCAGCGTAGCCCTGCCCTGAGTGTGGAACAACTCAAGTTCTACACAATCCCACCATTCAATGTGACCTGCAGATACTGGCTGGTACAAGAGAGGTCTCAGCTGGAAATGACTACGCAAATGAGAATGTAGGTTTTGTAATGCTTACTGAACATTGCTTATGTGAGCAATGATGGTATTCTTAAGTATTCCATGGCAAACTTGATGTTTTACTCTTGTCCTTCCATCAGTATTGCAATTTCCCTCCAGCTATTTGCAAGTCTTATGAAAATATGTTTAAAAAGAGATCAACAGTTTTGAAGGCCACAATTCATGCTCAGGGTGTCTGATCTACCTTTGTGGCAAATGACAGGCCAGATCATTATCACTGAAACTGATGGTGCAGAAAGGGCTGTCAAATGTACAAAGTAGGCAAACTGAAAACATAGTGAAACACATACAGTAAAACTCCAATAGTCCGGCATCCAATAGTCCGGCACTCCTGATATTCCAGCATCAAAATGGCAAGAGCCTAGTGAGTGAATTTCAGCAAAAAAAGAGTCACAAGGTAACAGCGGCAGCAGCTGAACTGAGCAAAAAGGGTAAAAAAGGCTTAAAAAAACTAAAACATTACAGTATACGGTATGCACAATAAAAAGGGTTAAGAACACTTTATATACAGTATATAATGTATACAGTGTATATATATATAACCAGCTTATAGTACCTCCTGATAGTCCGGCATATTTGATAATCCGGCACCACCTAGGTCCCATAGGTTCCGGATTATCGGAAGTCTACTGTACTAGTGTATCACTTACTGTTATCATCATCTTTCATATTAGCTTTAAAACCAGCAGATAGAGAATTTATAGACAGAAGTGTGATTATTATTTTTTTAATTGGCACAGCTCTTTTAAAATCTGGCCTTGGTGTGTCAACATGCACCAAGAGAGTGCGACGAACTTCTCTTTTAAACATTGTGGTATTTGGACTGTTGTGTGTTTGTATGTTCTCAGGAATCACCACAAATTATTCTACCTGCACCCCAAGCATCAGGACTTGTCCAGATGGCACCTGTGATGTTTTAGAGAGCAAAGATCCATCGGTGTGCCCTCAAGATTGCACAAGTATGGATTGTTTTAACGTCAGTATAAAATATAATACATATAAAATATTAATTTGTGTGTGAAAGCTGTGCAATATTGGTCCAGGCTCTACTTTCTTGTGGCCAAGTCCTTTTTAAAACGGTGGATACATTAAACACAAAAATCTCTATTACAGTGTTACAGCTGTCTTTTAGCTGATGTTTGAGTTGTGCAAAGTTCCAAGTTTTGGGCCCAATCTTGCACCCTTTACAGTCAGGGTACCTCTAAACTAAATTTTTTTTTTTGAAAGAGGATATGCAAATTCCCATGGGAATTTGCATATCTTCTTCTGATCTCACTTTCGAAAGTGAAAGTAGTCTGTACGTGTTTTTTTCGGAGAAAAAACCGTTTTTTGAAAAAAACGCGTAAACCTCATTTTTTAAGGAAGAGCAGTTTTTTTAAAAAAGGGGTTTTTTTCCAGAAAAACCTGCATCCAGACTACTGTCACTTTCGAAAGATCCTCTTGCGAAAGTGAGATCAGAAGAAGATATAATTTGGCATATCCTCTTTCGAAAATAAAATGTTATCTAGACATAGCCTCAGTAGCCAATCTCTTAGGGCACTAGGAAATGATTTTGAAATAACTACATTTGAAATGATAACTCCCAAAATAACTATTTCAAAATAAGCTTATTCCGTGAGGAAAATAGGAGCACAGATTTCAAAATAATCAGCCCGTTATTTTGAAATAATGGGCTTGGTAGTGTGGATGCTCCACTTATTATTTCAAGGGGGTTATTTTGAAATAACTCCCTAGTCTAGAGCAGGGTTCACTGAATTTATTCAGAGCATGATTGTGTCTCTGGTTTTCTCAGGGATTGTCTCCAGTGTTAGGCTATGTCTACACTAAGGCTGTGTCTACATTGGCATGAATTTCCGGAACTGCTTAAAATGGAATACTATTCCGTTTTCAGTTTTTCCGGAAAAGGAGCGTCTACATTGGCAGGCTGCTTTTCCGGAAAAGCCCTTTTTCCGGAAAAGCGTCTGTGGCCAATGTAGACGCGCTTTTCCGGAAAAGAGCCCCGATCGCCATTTTCGCGATCGGGGCATTTTTCCGGAAAAGACTACTGGGCTGTCTACACTGGCCCTTTTCCGGAACAGTGTTCCAGAATAAGGACTTATGCCCGAGCGGGAGCAGAATAGTTTTTCCGGAATAGTGGCTGATTTTGTACAGTAGAGCATCGTTGGTTTTCCGGAAATTCAAGGGCCAGTGTAGACAGCTCGCAGCTTATTCTGGAAAAGCAGCTGATTTTCCAGAATAAGTGGCCCAGTATAGACACAGCCTAGGAGATTATTTCAAAATTACTAAATTTCACTTCTAAGCTACGCAGCAGCACAGCTTCACAAGTGATTAATCAGCCCTGTCCAGTCAGTCAGCTGTATATACAAATTCAACCTTGGGGGACTTGTTTCAGACTAAGGTCCTAGTATAGACCAAGCCCCGGTTTGTATCAGATGGGGGAGAACTCCTAGCACATACCAACATGTTCCACACTAATTGGCCCTGCTGGTGTTCACTAGGGAATTTTTAGTACATACCAACAGGATCCACATGGGCCAGGTAGTATGCAGCATGCTGGTGCATATTAGAATTTACACCCCAGCTGATACAGGCTGAGACACGGTATAAATAAAACCTCAGTGGATCTTATCTCTGTGCACAAAACATAAACTTTAAAGTGGCAGAAATGCTTCAGGAGATCATAGATATTTTACTATAATCTGAAAACATCTTCACTGTTGATAAGTGAAATCAGCTGTCATTTTACAAGCAGCAAATAATGTGTTAGAGGCTGCGTCCCCAAAATCTGTAATGTTGAACATATGTGGTGTCAGATGGTTTGCTTGACAGAAGGCTGAAAGAAATGGAATCTTGTTAGGCAATAGAAAAAAGCAAGTAACACAAGCTTTCAAGATGTTATGTACCCCATCTTGTTAACACATGAATTGAGAGTGTTGTTATAAATTTGAGTACTTCAGGATATGGGATTGGTGCTCATAGCCAATATGTTTACGGATGGAGAAATTAGGGCATTTCAAGAGTTCAGATGTGCTGACAAAGTACTGTTATCTCCGCTTTTACCAGCAGAAGGCATTTCTTTGGCAAAAGCAATCAACATATCATAAAATCTTGGATGCAGTAATGCCAAGAACGTTGTGTATATAAAGACAGCTGCTGCAATATTTATTTTTATCATTCATCTAACATTTTGTAAGGCACTTGGCACTTACATCCCCAAAATTATATTTTCATGCACCCCCAGATGCCACTTGCAATGGGCTCTTTCAAGCTAAAGCTATTGGTTCCGCTATTGTAACCCTCAAGCTCAGGTAACCTGTTTAGGTACTAAATAAGACACCTTAATAGAGTATGACATACAGTAGAGATAATACTAAATGGTAGCTGGGTGGGGAAAGGGGGTGTTTCGGGACTGGCTGTGCCATGAGAACCCAGCTAGGAGATTTTGAAGGGGTTTCTCCAGACCAACAATTATAAATTCAGCTGTAAGATTAGATTCTACAGAACCTGAACTTCAAAGAAAATGGGATCACCTTTTGTCTTCCCCGGTAATCTAATCATCCAGCCTTCTCTGCTTCCATCTCAACTGCAGTGTTTGGTCAGAACAAACGGTTGTCAGAACAACAACTAGAACCCACATCTCCGGACCACCAACTCCCTGCTTTGGCCACTCAATGGCTGTCTCCCACATGTATAAGCCACAAAACAGTCCCAGAGCAGCAGAAGGAGAGAGAAAAAATGAAACTAACTAAATAAGAGAAGCTATTTCAGGAAGATTTTGGAGTGTTGACAAGGCAGTGGGAATCAACATTAAATAATGGATATTCATATTCAACATTTAAAGGCCATTTTAAATAAAGGACATATCCACCTATTTTTTACATATGAAGTAAAGACATAATCCAAAATAAATTCTGTGTCCTACATCTATTTTATCTATCATACTTAAGTCTATAAACTAGATCGTCTATAACAGCAGTAATTGCTAATCAGACTAGTGAGCCCAGAAATAGTATTCAGGTAGTTTTCACGTTCCCCTAATCTCTTTACTTTACCCATCCAGAGACCTTTTGTCATTTTTGCCACTTAGTCTGAGCTGCACTGGCAAATTTCAAATACTTGAGGGGGTAACACCGCAAAAACACATGAGTGGAAGAATCTTGTGCTTTGCTTTTTAACTGCTGTGTGGGAATCTGAGCTTGTGTCTGTATTTCATTAGCTGGAAACATCATTGGTGGGCATGAGAGAGGCATTCACGGAATTAAGTCAGGACATGGGATTTGTTACTGCTTCCCGAGACATAACTGCTACTGCGAGAAAGATGATATTAAGGGTAAGTCTAAAGATTATTTAGCTGGTTTTACCATCTTCTTGCTCTTATGTCACTAACCTTTCCTACTGTATACAATACTCCTGTCTCTGATATATAAAACCATCCAAACTCATTCACAAGAATTATGTTCATATTCATGGCCTACCAGTATACAAAGAGGCTGTGTCTAGACTGCATCCCTTTTCCGTAAAAGGGCTGCAAATTAGACCTATCGCAATTGCTAATGAAGCGGGGATTTAAATCCCCCCCGCTTCATTAGCATAAAAATGGCTGCCGCTTTTTTCTGGCTCGGAGCTTTGCCGGAAAAAAACACCAGTCTAGATGCGGGTCTTTCGGAAAATAAAGCCTTTTCCGAAAGATCCCTTATCCCTTATTTTAAGAGGAATAAGGGATCTTTTGGAAAAGGCTTTATTTTCTGAAAGATCCATGTCTAGAATGGCGCTTTTTTCCGGCAAAGCTCCGAGCCAGAAAAAAGTATCCCTCTTACGGAAAAGGGATGCAGTCTAGACACAGCCAGAATGAAGAAAGGAACTCCTGGATTTGGGCATTTCTGAACCCCCATGGATTTTGTCCATGTGTTCTCTGCAAAGTGCTCCCCCACATCCAGTGTTGCATAGTACACTGCTTGGCTGCTCCCACAATCCCCAGAGATGTCTACATTCCAATGGACTGTAGCAGGGACTCATAGGCTGAAATGTTCAAAGTTGATTAGGAAATCGCTTTCCATTGGGCTGGAGTTTCTGCACCCCTCGTGAGCTTTAAAAATCACAACTACAGAATGCAGAGATGGGAGAAGACTGTTGTGGAAGATGCTGGGGTTATCTGATCCATTCTAGGATTGCTATCCTGTCCTGTTTTCACTGGAAGGCACAATGGGAGCCCCTGCCAAAGGGAAAGTAATGATTGTTTTTGTAATGAGCCTTCCCTATGAAGGACTTGTGGCACCAGCCAATATATTATAAAGCGAACAGTAAAAAACAAAATGAAAACAATAATACGACGAAGAACTCCCAGTCTGAAAACAGAGGGGCGTCCCATGTAGAAAAAAAGGGAAAAGTGAGACTTATAACATCCCCCCACAGTGCAAGGGGATGCACTAGATAGCCCTACAGCTCTATGGTCCTGTGATAATTTACACTTCTGGAGAAAATGTTAGTTGCTGGGGAAGTGGATCTGATATGAATATCAAGGGGACTGTGTTCCTGGGGTCTGCAATGGTGTCAGCAAATGAATACATGATAGGATGAGTCTCAAGCAAGAAGTCTCAGATGAAGCCAGTACCTTTAGTACTATGGGCTATAAATCAAGTTACAGTTTTAAGAAGCATTTAAGCCTGCAATTGCCTAAAGATCTTAGAAAAACGTAGGATTTTGCTGCTGCATGGGTATTCGCAAGTGCGCCACTTCTCCCTTCTATGAGAATTAGATCCAGGGTTTTAGTGCAGCTTATGAAATGACATTCAATTACATTTACATTATACCAAAACGTCTAAGTAGATGCCGTTGTGAATGGTCACTACCTCCCAAAAAGGGGCGTGGAAAGAGATAAGATGGGGAAAAAATTGAAAATGAAACCAGCAGAACTGTAACCAACTCCCTGTCTGCCCACAGAACCACTGTGTGATGACGTATGCAAGACCGTGATTGCAGGAGCAGTTCTGCTCTCCTTCATTATCTCAGTGCTGCTCTCTTCTTATTTCATCCACCGTTACCACAAGAATTCTCCAAAGCCACCAATTGCCTCAGCCGAGATGACCTTTCGGCGCCCAGCTCAGTCCTACCCCATCAGTTACTCTTCTACAAATGTTCGTCGGCCATCTCTGGACTCGATGGAGAACCAGGTGCCTGTGGACACCTTTAAAATACCCGTAAGATTTTATTTTACTTTTTCAATTGCATGCTAATTTGGCTTGGCTCTCTCGTTTTGCCATAAATTGGGTTTGCTAAGGAAAGTGGTGTGTTGTCTATTGAATACGTTACAATAGTGCCTCAAACTTTATTGTGATTTGAGGTGGCATTGTGCTTGACAAACTTTAAAGGAGAAAATCTGGCCCAATTGACTGCAGCAGGCCTAGGATTTCACCTTTAGTTAAAGAAAGTCCTCCCCCAAAAACTGCAGCAGGCCTAGGATTTCACCTTTAGTTAGAGAAAGTCCTTCCCCAAAAGAATAGACAGCAAACCTTTTGGGGAAGCAAAATACAGGACTATGTAGCACTTTAAAGACTAACAAGATGGTTTATTAGATGATGAGCTTTCGTGGGCCAGACCCACTTCCTCAGATTGTCTTCCACTATTTGATCTGAGGAAGTGGGTCTGGCCCACGGAAGCTCATCACCTAATAAACCATCTTGTTAGTCTTTAAAGTGCTACATAGTCCTGTATTTTGCTTCCCCAAAAGGTTTGCTGTCATTGAGATAAAACAAAAATCGCACCCCTGGAGGGAATACAGCAAAGGTGTCTAAGGAATACAGGGTAATTAAACAGATCATAACTTACTGCAGAAGCCCAGATACAATCTAATCCCTTATGCCTTTTGCCATTGACTGTAGTACAGTGTTAGGCTAATGTACAGGTTGGACCTCACTGGTACAGTACCCTCGGGCCCTGAGCAGTCCCAGAAGAGCGAATTTGCTGGACCAGAGAAGGTCCACTGTCATCAACCCCTTCAGCCTGTCGCCCCTCCCCAGAGCCAGGTCCTTTGGCCCCGCTGCTGGCCGGGCGACACGGCTGCCCCAACCCTACTGCCATAGCTGCTGCTCCAGCCCCACTGCCAGCACAGCAGCATGTAGCCCTGGTCCCACTGCCACAGCACCAGCCCCACTGCTGGCTGGCAGGTAGCTCTGATCAGGCTGCCACGGCTCACGGGCTGCCCCTGCCCAGATGCCCTGCTGCCACAGCCCCTCCACCACCACAGATCTGCTGTTGCCCTGGGGTAGCTGATGGTACTCCTTCCAGGGGGCTCTCTTGTTCAGCAACATCCACAGTCCTGCCGGACCATGCATGTGGCCGGACAAGAGAGTCCCGGTTTAGGGAGGTGCAACCCACACCGAAGTTAAAGTGATTGTCCATGTTTGCAGTTTGTTTTCTGACCAATATTTCTATCATGAGGATAAATAATAATAATACCTTGCTCTTCAAACACTCTGTAGATTTCAAAGGTGTTTTACAAAGGAGACCAGTAGCATTTTCCTCATTTTATAGATGGTGAAACTGAGGCACAGAGAAGCAAAGTGATTTGTCCAAGGTCTCCCAGCAGGTCACTGGCAGAGTGGGGAATAGAGCTCAGGTCTCCTGAATCTCAGTGCACTGTTATCACTAGGAAATACTGCCTCCATTGAACATAAGGTAACACCATCTAGTGGTTGAAGCACACAGCGGGGACTGAAAAGACCTGAGCTCTTTTTGGGTACATCTACACAGCAGGGCTAAAGTCAAATTAGGCTACACAACTTCAGCTACGTCAGTTGCGTAACTTAAGTCGAAATAGTTTAACTCGGCTTTTTGGCGCTGTCTACACAGCAGGAAGTTGAAGAGAGAACACTCTTCCTTCGACTTCCCTTACTCCTCGTGAAATGAGGGTTACAGGAGTCAGAGTGAGAAGTCCTCCAGCTCGATATTATTTCATAATAAAGGCTTGCAGTGTAGAAGTGCTCTTTGTTAGTTCAGAACAATGTCAGTTATTCCGAAATAACGCTGCTGTGTAGACGTACCCTTCCTGACTCTACTACTCACTCAAGAGTATTTTCTTGGGCAAGTCACTCTACATCCGTCTCTCCATCTGAGACACAGTGGAAACTTTCCAAAGGATTCCAAATTCTTGATGAAAATTGACATGCACCGCCCTTTGAAAGTATTTAATTATTTATCTAATATGGAGCAGAAGCCTGATAATCAGCAGCGTATTGGCTAATAGTGCACCATTTGTTTGCATGACGCGTCTTCTAGTGCAGTAGTTTGACTGGGAGCGAACTGCCCTGTGGTATGGAACTAAATAATTGTTCTGCTGGAATGAACAATTGGATTCAAGTAAACTAGTTCCCTGCAAAGTCTGTGGCTAATTACTTTTGTTCCCTAGTTATTGGCTACATCCATCTGCAGCTGTACTATTTGCAATTTCATTGTGAAAATTATGTCATTGTTTTAGTGATACCTTCCAGCATTCAGTTGAATTGCACATGATGAACTGTGAATTTCGGTCGCAGGACCTTATTGTAGTGCGCAGGCTACGTTTTAATTTACAAAGTAGAATTCTTGTTAAAGTGAGGGGGAGGGGGAATATTCCCCTGCTGGCAGTATTTTATTCCCCAGGATAATTGTAGATAGCCAGAAATTGCTGTGTATAAAAATGCAAACAGTCAACGAGTTAAAAAAATCCCTAAGAGAATTCAGCCAACAAAAATTACATTAACCAAGGTTAACAGCTCTGTAAAATCTGGTATATCGAGCTGGATTCAGGACAGGATTTTCCTTGGACATTAACCTACAGTGCGACACTATAAATGAAATTAAATAATAGGGTTTTATAGCTTAGTTGAGGGTGGGTTTATTTGCATACTTTGGAAGACTCCCCTCTCCCTAGCCTACCCAGCCCTTTAATGCCGTTTGATTATACTGTATGTTGGCTGCCAGTTTGTGCACTTTTATTTATTTTCTACCTGGGGCAAATAGGATAGTGCCTGGAAAAGTCCTGCGCAGTGAGACACTGTCCTCTTGTCTGACCCACGTGGCACCGTCTGATACATTTGAATGTTAAATATTGAGGCCTTCGTAGTAGCTTGTACTCTATTTGCTTTTATTTCTTGGTCCGTTTAGACATTTTGTCACTGTTCTGTAACTGTAAGGCTCACTAGCATTTCACCACAGATGGATTGTTGTTGTGACAAATTCTTAAAGGCAAACCTTCTCCCACAACTCAAACCAAAATTCAAGATCAAATAGGCCTACTTTATTTTAAAGGGCAGCATTTTTATTCTGTGTCCGTTTTTCTTCTGTACAAAGAATATTCTTCAGGTAGGCCTGTGAACATCATCCATTATGATTGGCTGCACCTAGTGCCTTTTTATGTGGAGGAGACTTCTAGCTAATTTTGAAATTCTGGCAATGAGGGCATTTCAGAAGAGCAACACCATGTTTTGACAACAGAACAAACCCCCACATTAATCAGATAACTGAGCATATAATGCCTTCTCTGAAATATAAGGCTATATTAGACCTTTATGGTTTGAGCTACCAATCAGCCTCTGGCTCCTTCTGTCTGATAAGATAACCCATTCTTATCTCATTTTATCCGGTAAGATGCGTTATTTTTCTCCTACAGGAAGACCCCAAATGGGAATTCCCCCGGAAGAATCTGGTTCTAGGCAAGACACTAGGAGAAGGAGAATTCGGGAAGGTTGTCAAGGCAACAGCGTTCAGACTCAAGGGGAAAGCAGGCTACACCACGGTGGCCGTGAAAATGCTAAAAGGTACATTTCCCCCCATGGCTGAAACGATTTGAAAGCTCTTTGGTAACCTTTCAATCTATTTGGCTTAGGTCTATGTGAATGCAGGAGGTCATCTGGGAGCAGGCCCTGCCAGCCTGCTGGATACATTTCCTCCAGCATTCTATTTATGTCCTGATGTATTTCTGTCTACAGGAGATAGTGCCACATTGATGCAAACTAATTTCCAAAGGCCCTCGTTTGTGCTGTGCAAGGACAATGTGACTTACTCTGGCAAATGCATCTCATTTAAGTTGTCATTGATTGAAGCATTGCAAGGGATTTTAAAAACTCTGCACATTCTTGGTCTCAATTCTTCAAATATTTTAAGAAGATCCTTTGTGCTAGATACATAGTGGCTGGAGATAGAACCAACCTATTAAGCTATCCATCAACTTCACGGGCTGTGCAGGTTTGGGCTGATATATTTACTCCATGGAGGTGTGAGCCGGAAGGGCAGGAAATCAGGAAGTCCCAAGCTCTAGTTTCAGGCTGGCTATAGTCAATTCACTTTATCTCTCTACTTATGAGCTTCTGAGCCGTGTAATAGTGGGTAATAATATTTGCTCACCTACAATAGCTAGCATAGGGGGGAGGGATAGCTCAGTGGTTTGAGCATTGGCCTGCTAAACCTAGGGTTGTGAGTTCAATCCTTGCAGAGGCCATTTGGGGCAAAAAATTTGTCAGGGATGGTATTTGGTCCTGCTGTGAAGGCAGTGGACTGGACTTGGTGACCATTCAAGGTCCCTTCCAGTTCTAGGAGATAGGCAATCTCCATTAATTTAATTAAAAAAAGAAGCAAATAGGCAGTTTGTAAAGCACTTTGTATACACAGCGTAGCAAGGCCAACTAGTGGGAAGTAGGCAAGGGGCATGTGGAGGCACCCCATTTAGCAATTAAAATTTGGTGAGGACATAATGGAGCAGTTCACCTCCCGAATGCCACCAGGAGTCACGTATGCAGGGTGGGATTTTGAAAAGCACTCAGTATTGCGCAAAGTCAGTGGTCACCAACCAGTCGATCGGGATCTACTGGTAGATCTTAGAGCCTCTGACAGATAATCCTGACTGGTTTGGCCAAGAGTATCAAGTGCTGGCTCTTCAGCTGTTCCTTGCCCTATGGCTGTGCATTTCCTGACCTTTGCCTTGGAGCTATCCCCTCAGGAGCCTCCTACTTTTTGCACCGGGCAAGGAGGCAGAGGAGGGTGCTGATGTCAAGGTGCCTCCTCTCCCACCCTGTATCCTATCTCCACAGAGAAGAGAGGGGGGAACAACAAGATTTAGGATGGAATTTGCTGGTTGCTTTTGGGAGAGGGGCTGGGCCAGGACAGGGGTGATCCTGTCTTAGCCCCACTGCACCACCACCTGAGGTCAGCAGGGTCCACCTGGGGCCCACATCCCACAACCCTACCCCAGTCATGAATCCCTCCTGTACCCCAAGCCTCTGCCCTAGCCCTGAGCACCCCTGCATCCAAACACTCTCCCAGGGCCTGCACCTTAGTACCCCCTCTGGCACCCAAACTGCCTGCCCCAACTCAGAGTCTCTCTCACACTCCAGATCCCTTAATCCAAGACCAGAGCCTGCAGCCAACCCATCGCCCCTGCCTGGTAAAAGAGAGGAAGGGGAAGGATGGGGGAGGGAGGATGGAGTGAGTAGGAGCAGGTTCTTGGAGAAGGGGCACAAAGGAGGTGGGACAAGGGTATTTATGTTTGAGATAGATCTTGGATTGCACTTAAATTCAAAAACTGATCTTGTGCTTAATAAGACTGAAGACCATTGCTCGAAGCAAAGCTAAGCCAATGCTGAGCACTTTTGAGAGCCTCACCTGAGAAACCCCATGTACATGTAATGTAAATGTAATTTAGTTTTGTCCAGTTGACTTTTAAAGATACAGAATCTGAGATTACAGAGTTGGAAGAAGACCTACAATAGATACCCCTCGTTGATAGGAAGGGATTTCTCATATGCATCTATCTCTACCTATTGTAGTGTCTTACATTGAAGAAACTGACCCATAGGTCTTTCTTTTCAAACCCCAGCTACACCTACCATTCTCCCACATGTGCCACATTAAAAAGGAGAGCAAAGTAATGAAATAATGAGTTGTCTCTCTCTGGAGGCCAGATCAAGTATCGCCATAGTCCCCAAATAGAGCCAGTGGTTGGCCATCGTTTATGCTGCATTTCACACATAATGGTTACATCATCTGTACCATATCAGTGGCACGCAAAAGGGACAGAAGGCAGATGGAGGCCTTTCGATCACAAAAGGCCTTGCAAAATCTAGGACTGGCCCTGAAGTTCTGGCAGGAGGGTAATTTAAACTGAATACTCCTGAAGGAAAAGATAGAAATGGAAAGAACAGAGGAAATAACCCTGTTTTGTGATAGAAGCTGATACTACTTCATGATAGCGTGTGGTCTCTGGATACCAAGAGGCTAAGTGTGCTAGGAAATTGAGAGAATCAGCAGAAATGTTTCTGAGTAGATGAGTTCTTACTTTTGGTGAGGAGCAAGCATTGGCTGGATGACCTCAGTCGTTAATTGCTCTGTGAATAAGAAAACACAATTATAATGGGATAATGGATTTCTTATTAGCATTTTTATTGTGTGCAATCTTAAAAAAACAACCCATCATCTCTTTGAGTGCATGGAAATTGCACATTACATCAATTTACCAATGGAATAAATGAGTTATGAAATGCACGTCTACATTTATAAAAAGGCTTCCTTATAATGAGGGTTCAATGGAGATGAAATCAAAGACAGAGCATGAAGACAAAGCACTGGAACTTGGTCTTGCAGAGGCAAAGACTAATTTAGCTCTGCATGAAACATTAACATAACCTTGTACGTGGCATTATGAATGGAGTATCCATAATCTTTATCGCGTGCCAACTTTATTTATACTTTTACAAGTATTGGTGACTTTTTAGCAGGTTTTACATCAATAATATGTAACTGAGATAAAATTCCTAAATATGCTATTAAAAATTGACATTCTTAATTTCAGCTGCCTTAACATTTGACTTTCCCTAGCTATTAATTGGAGCAGAATTGATAGCAGACAGGGCTAACCCTTTATTTAAGCATTCTCCTCTAATAAATTCATAAGGCATTTATAGTAATGTCACAAACTCTAATGAATTCCTTTTGCAATGCATGTTTCTTCCCCAGATAGCTTCCCCAAATGTTCCATGAGAGCTGCATGGCCATTACTTTGGTAAACATTTGTGGGGTTTTTTTTTTACTTTGTTGTGAACAAATAGAAATAGAAATTAAACAGCAACAAAAATCACTTATCTTGGATGTTCTCCAAGAAGTTTTATGCTGTCCACCAGCCAAGGTATAGTATAGCTGAATCAGGCCCACCATACCCAGTCTCTGCTGTTTTGAAGTCATTGGAAAGATATTTACTGACTACAGCGGATATTGGATCAGGCACATTATAAATGAATACACATCCAGGGTGAAATTCATCCTAGTGCAAAGAACAAAGTCCTTTGCGCCCTTTAATTTCTGGGACAGGACAGCGATAGAGCAGCCATGTAGAGCAGCCTCCTTCCCACAGCAGCACCTAGAAGAACCAGTCTTGATCTAGCACACTATTGTGCTTGTCTCTGTACAAACACACACAATAAGATGGACCTTTCCCCCAAAGCATGCAGTCTAAGACAAATACAGCCAGGCTGATGCAGGGGAGGGTTACAAAGCTATAATGATACCATATTAAACTGTTATTATCAAGGCAAACTCTTCACAAACAAATAATGTAATTGAATGTTAAAATAAATAGTGTAGATTCTCTTTTGAGTGTATTAGGCCATGTAAAAATGTATCTTGTGTTAAGGTTCAATATAGATTATTAATGAGAGGGTCAATGTAACCCAGGGTCAATCAGTTTATTAATCAAAGATTATTAGTGAAACTTTAATCTTCCAGATACAGAAAGGCAAATACAATATCAATCCATTCCAGTATCACCCAGAAATGCATCCATTTATATAGGATACATTTTCACACACACAAAAAGAGAGAGAGAGAGAGAGAGAGAGATCTGTTTTCATTACTCGGGTCCTACCAAATTCATGCTCCATTTTGGTCATTTCGCAGTTATAGGATTTTTAAAATAATAAATGTCCCTATTTCAGCTATTTAAGTGTCATGGTGGTGTAACTGTAGGAGTCTTGACTCCTCAAAAGGAGTTGGGCGGAGAGGGGGGGCGGGTAAGCAGAGGTGAAAGGAAGCGGGTGCGGCCCTGGTGTGCAGCTCCGGCAAGAGCTGGCTGAGTTGCAGCAAAGCCGGCAGGGAGCTACGGAAAAAGCTGGCAGGCTGCAATAGGATGGTACCTGTAAGAAATTTTAAGTTCCTTTCACTGCTGAGGGCAAGTACAGGACTGCTACCCTTACTTTTGCACAGTTGCTGGCCGCAGCACTGCTTCAGAGCGGGATAACTGAGGAGCGATGGCTGCTAAGTGGGATCTCAGTGCTGAAGGCAGCATCACTGCCAGCAGCAGTGCAGAAGTAGGGATGGCATGGTATGGTACTGCCACCCTTATTTCTGTGCGGCTGCTGGCAGGGCGCTGACTTCAGAGCTGGGCGCCTGGCCAGCAGCCACCACTCTCCAGCCACCCAGCTCTGAAGGCAGCCCAGAAGTAAGGGTAGCAATATTGCAGTCCCCCTAAAATAACCTGTTGGCCCCCTCAAGACTCCCTTTTGGGTCAGGACCATCAGTTTGAGAAATTCTGTTCTTCCCCATGAAATCTATGTAGAATCGGGTAAAAGCACATAAAAGACCAGATTGCACAGTGAGAGACCAAAGTTCATGGTTTGCCACATGTTTTTTAAGGACATTAATTTGGCAGGGCTCCAATCATGACCTATTGTCCCTTGGGCTACAGCTACACGATGAACTTTTTCTCATTTGCATATCTCGTGCTCTCATTTGCATATTCTCTTCTGATCCTTTTTGCAGAAGAGTTTTTGCGCAAAAAAGCTCTGTGTCGACGGCACCTTTTTGCACAACTCCCCCTTTTGCACAAGATCCCTTCTTCCTCAATTTTCCTCCCACACCCCAACTCCAATTTCATGAGCATTCAAGCCCCTCATAGAATTTCCATAGCCTCCTGTGGCTCTGCAGCCAGAAAGTTTGCCCAATCCTGCTCTTTAATGTGATGGCTAGGGCTGAGAGGTGGGAGAGCCAAGTTCAAATCCCCTTCTGCCTGATGTGGAGCATGGGAACTGAACTTTGTCTCCCATGCCCTATGTGAGTGTACTAACCACTGGGATAAAAAAAGAGGGCCCATGACCTGCTGCTCCTGCCTGTTTTGTAAATGTCATCTAAGTCCTAAAAATCTCTCTCATTTTGGCCAATAATTTTGAGTAATTTGAAACTGCATTTCTCAGCTAATAGACCAGCAGCTGAAAAATGTCACCCACCTCCGCCTGACAGAGCGCCTCCGCCTGTAAGTGACTGAACATCAATGAAGAATCAGGCCCTGTCCCTGGTCTGAACACTGTTACAAAGCAGAGAGTGCACAGCTCATCTCAGGAGCGCTCTGAACTCCGTGTTCTTCAGTTGCACCTGTTCACTCCACAGCAATTTGTTCCCTGCACATGCCTAAATCAAGTCAAAGTCTGCCCCAGGACACAGGCGGCTCATCAGGCATGTCAGTTTCCATAGCCTACAGTACACAATGGAGTGATATGACCATGTCATGCTGGCTGCCTTTCCCGGCCCTAACGCTATGGACCAGGTGCCCGTTTTGCTGCTAGCTTTCAGTGTGAAGTCCTGCAAGACATGCACCCCTGATCTCTGGGATTACAGATGAGCACATTAATCACTTGGCAGCAGGCCCGCTGACAGGGCAGGTATGAGGGGAAATTGCTGCCTCAAACCCTTTAGAATTGCCGAGGGCACGCTGCACGGTGAGTTCTGGCCAGCTCTGAGCTCCGCCCCTTCCGCCCCAGGTCCCGCCCCTTCTGGGAGTGTAGAACTGGCAACACCACATTGCTCAAGGGCCTGGCAATCCTGTTGGCTCCCCTGCTTAGCAGCAATCTCAGCACTTCAGACAGGTGGTAGGATGCTAATTTACAGCTTAAATGATAGGTGACATGTTCCTTTTATAAACCAGATGTCTGTTTTTGATGCTTTCTCTAGAAAATGCTTCCCAGAGTGAGCTGCGAGATCTGCTGTCAGAATTCAACCTCTTGAAACAGGTTAACCACCCTCATGTCATCAAACTGTATGGAGCATGCAGTCAGGATGGTAAGTGTCAGCAGCTAATGAGTAAGAGAGAAACAAAGAATGGCTCTAGCTTGGGATTGGACCACTATGTAAAATGCTAAACACCCCTGTACGTCTGCTAATGGTTAAAAATGGTGGTGAGTAAGAATGAGTGAGAGAAGGGTAAATCCTAATTTCAGCAAAACTAGCCACAGATTTTATGGATACCACTATTTAGTCAGAGGCCAACATGTTTTGATTCTAAAGCTATTTTAAAATATTTTCTAGTCAGTTTCTTTTTCTGCCTCCTAATTTTGGGTCTCAGTGAGCCTCTTCCAATGGGACTGGATTTTGAGTGTTATCATTGTTTTGAATTTTAGAAGCAGCTAAAGGCCTGTGGCTGGGATTGGGGAACCATTTTGCTAGGTAGTGTGTGAATGAGTAGATAAGGGAGAGCAGGCTACCTAACTCCAGACTAGCTGACTTTCATAGAATCATAGAACCATAGAGCTGGAAAAGACCTCAGAAGGTCATCAAGTCCAGCCCCCTGCTCTAGGCAGGACCAATCCCAACTAAATCAACCCAGCTAGACCAGACTAACACAGAAACATCTCTATTACTAACTCCAGACTAGGTTGCTATTCAGTTTCGCTTTCGCTTTTTCTGTCCCCTCCCCCTCCTCCGGACGAGGTTTTCTTGCACTAGCATGGTTCTGTCGTGTTGTGCTTTCGTGAATGCTTGTATTTGTCAAAAGCTGCTTTCACTGTACTTAACTGCAGATATATGGGGGAAATAATGTTCAGCAAATGTATATAAATAGCCAAAGGGGCAAACTTTCAGTGCAGACCATGGAGATTGATCGAAAGAATTCTCATTAATATTAAATAGTTGTATTGACAACATTCTCTGCCAAAAAGTACAGACTGAACCTCTCTAGTCTGGCACCCTCAGGACTTGACCGGTTCTGAACGCTGTGAGAGCGCAGCCAATTGCCCGCTGCGTGCGAAGGCAGCGGCTCTCACAAGCCCTCTAGATACACGTCTGGGGTGTGTCTAGACGACAGGCTTTTGTTGACAGAAGTTTTGTCGTTATGTCGACAGAACTCAGCGGTAGTGTAGACACTGGTATAGTTTTGTCGACAAAAGTCCACTTTTGTCGACAAAACTAGGTAGTCTAGACACACCCTTAGAGAACATTTAGGGGTAAATTAGAGCTAAATAACAGCACAGAACATTGAGAGCCAGGATTGCTGGCTTTAAACAAACTTCATGGAACCGTGGGAAACTTGGCCACACCCATGAAAAGTGGACATCCAGCCAACTAAAATCATTCCAGATTATGGATGTTTTTGAATGATAGAGCTATGCATTAGAGAGATAGAACCTGTACCTTGTGTATGTTGATCTTTCAGTTGTTATGGAGCATGAGTGATTTACATGGCCACAAATTCTTAAGGCTCAATCCTGTGCCCTCAGAACTCCTGTGGATGTCACTGTTAGTTCTAGGGGCACATGAAATTCAAGATTGTACATCTGGGAGACTCAGATTTTGAAAAAAATCAGGTGTTTTAATGAACCCTTGTGGAGAGGATAAAATCAGTGTGCTGTGAACTGCTTGAGTTGAACACTTCCCATAAATATGAAGGTAATTCATTAATGCACAGGAGTGGGAAGGCTTTGATACAGCTGACAAATGTACTCAGCATTATAGCTCTGAGTGGATATTATTCATGTGGGTGTTGGGGAGGAGAAACTTGCTAATGGATTGAAATGTCAGGATTTTTGTGCAGAATCTATACTTGAGTGCTTTGAAAAGGCACCTTAATTAGTATGCAGGAATGAGAAGATGTTTTGTGAGCTAAATACCACAAGCTCCAGAAAGTAATTTTGATTTTTTTTTTAAATCAAGTTTCTTAAAGTAATGCCTTATACTGGCTTGGTTTTTAAGTAGGTTTAAGAAAATTAAAAGATGAAAGCTAAGGAGCTCTATACATCAGGTCAGCATTTCTCCTTAGTCATATCCACATGAATCTGGAGACCTTCAATTGACTTCTGTGGACTTATTCTGGATTTATACTCACATGACTAAAAAGAACATATTTTGACTCAGCCTCTGTATGCAGCTACTTTTTGCATGAATTTGCTGCATTATTGAGGTGTTCACCTTGTATGCATGTGCTTTTTGGTTTTATTGTCTTTCTATTTGCTTTTTGGATTCCTCCTGACCTTAAGGTATTATATTCTGGCAGCTAATGTCACTATTCATCTATGAAAGACAAGCAAGATTTGGCCAACTATTGCTATAACACTATGTGCCCATGCATACATGTGTGACTCCATCAATATAAAAAAAGAGCACTAAATAAGCGTGTCACTAACCAGCTACATGAATTCACAGCTAATGATAAAACATGGCAGATGTGCACCAACATCAAAATGAGGCATATCTCAGGCGAAATCATGGAGAGTATAAGTTTTGCTGCTGATTTCAGAGGGATCAGGATTTCAACCCAAGTATTTTCACATATGTCACTCATTGGCTTCATTTTTTTTAACATGAGCCAATCTATAATTTAATAATTATTGCATGCACATCAACATTTAGCATATGGCGAGACAGAATAAAAACTAGTTCAGTCTAATTTTATATGGAGATCACACACAATCAATAACTTTTATTCTTTGTAAACATGCTTTCCATTCCCAAGCAATGATACTATTTAAAACGATGTGCCATGATGCAACAAAAGAACACAACAACAGATCAGAGGCAGATTAAGGGTTAGACTCATAGAACACTAGAACTGGAAGGGACCTCGAGAGGTCATTGAGTTCGGTCCCCTGCCCTCATGGCAGGACCCAGTACTGTCTGATCATCCCTGATAGATGTCTATCAACCTGCTCTTAAATATCTCCAGAGATGGAGATTCCACACAGTGTTAGTGCAGGGCTGGGCAAGATGTGGCCTAAGGCTTTGACCTGGCTTGCAGACGGCATGTGGCTGCTTTCTATTCATATCTTGGTGCCTATGCCACAGAATTTCCAGGCGGTGGCTCCGGCAGCAGAATCCTATTTAAATGGCTCATGGCTCCCAGTTGTTGTGCTATCCCCGCAGGGGCCAGAACTACGAGCCCTTTAAATAGCCACAGCAACCCCGGCCGGCTGCCAGCCAATGCAGTCGTGGTGGGACAGGGACTGCGAGCCCTTTGCTGTCTTTTTAATTCAAAGCCTCCAGCCCTGGACAGCCCTGGACAAGTCCCTAGCTCCACCCCTTCTGACCCAGACCCCCCACTCTTACACCCTAGGCCCTGCCTCTTCTGGGGGTGGAGCTGGCCCATGACTAGGTACCAAAATTAATGAAGCCCCTCCCCTGTAAAAATTATTGCCCATCTCTGGTGTGTGAAACCCTGGGCCAGAGCAAGTGGGGTTCCCTTCCTACCCCTTCCATCTGCAGTCCTCCCCCAAGCCTGCTCCCAGCACTCCTGCCAAGGAGAAGGGTGGGCATACAATTTGCCTGCCTAGTGCTCCTGCTGGGGAGTGGGGTTGGGACACGGGAGCAGGAGAGCTGTGTGGTTGGGGGGGAGCAGGGCAAGCTTGCAACCCTGCTCCTTGGCAGGAACGCCAGGCCAGCGGAGGAGTGGGTTGATGTGGGGGTGCTCCAACTGGCCAGGGCTCCTGGCACAGGCCCCTTTGGCCCAGTGGATAATCCACCAAGCCGCTGCCTGCGATGCTCACCAGCGCCTTCTCACTGTAGCCTTAAAACTAGGCACTGCTTGGGTGACTAGCAAGCTGTACCGGGTACTTACACTTAGGTTCTGGGGCACAAGCCCAGGGCTAGCATAGAAACTGTGTCGCTGCTTTAGCTGTGGTAGGTGTTGCTAGGTGCCCTCTATACCTCGGAGCAGTTATGCTCAAGAGCACTAGGGCTTGTAGCATGAGAGAATTCCCATAGGACATCCACTCTGTTTGCAGGATTCTGAATGTTGCTTAGGGCATGAACAAGGCTCTGCCACTCCTCTCTGTCATGCTGGCTACTTACTTTTTTTCTACCATTTAACTTTTTTACAAGGATAGATGGCTGGCCTTTCTCTCCAACCCCAACTGAGGGGACCAGTGGACTGCTTTTCATGGGAGCCCTCGCTAGCTTTGACAATACTATTGGGAGTTACAACTCCTACCGGCCTGACTTCGGGTTATTTGAACACATAATGGCTGCGTCTAGACTGGCAAGTTTTTCTGGAAAAACTTGCCAGCTGTCTACACTGGCCGCTTGAATTTCCGCAAGAACATTGACGATCTCATGTAAGATTGTCAGTGTTCTTGCGGAAATGCTATGCTGCTCCCGTTCGGGCAAAAGCCCTCTTGCACAAATGCTTTTGTGCAAGAGGGCCAGTGTAGACAATGCGGTATTGTTTTGTGCAAAAAAGCCCCGATTGCGAAAATGGCGATTGGGGCTTTCTTGTGCAAAACCGCGTCTAGATTGGCACAGACGCTTTTCCGCAAAAAGTGCTTTTGTGGAAAAGCGTCCGCGCCAATCTAGACGCTCTTTTCCGCAAATGGTTTTAACGGAAAAACTTTTCCGTTAAAAGCATTTGTGGAAAATCATGCCAGTCTAGACATAACCCATCTGTTCTACCATATCAAGTTGCAGTGCCCAGGGAAGCATGTTTGCAGGATTGCGGCCTGTAATTGTTACAAACGAGTCTGGTGATGTCAACTAGAAAAAGCCTTAGAAAAGTAGAGCAGAACCACCTTCCTGATTTGTAATTTACTTTCTTTCCCCCAGGACCTCTGTATTTAATTGTGGAATATGCAAAATATGGTTCCTTGCGCAGTTTTCTCAGGGAAAGTCGCAAAGTAGGACCTAGCTATGTGGGCAGTGACACCAACAGAAACTCAAGCTACTTGGACAACCCAGATGAGAGAGCATTGACAATGGGAGATCTGATTTCATTTGCATGGCAGATATCTCGGGGGATGCAGTACCTGGCAGAAATGAAGGTACAGTGCAACAGCTATGCAATGAGCATATCTCTGTGAGAGAGAGAAAAGTATCCAGAGGTTTCTCCATGAATTTTACCCCATAAGAATAATAACCAAGATTGTTGGCTTCTTTTTAAAAGCTTGTTCATCGTGATTTAGCAGCCAGAAACGTACTGGTGGCAGAAGGACGCAAAATGAAGATTTCTGATTTTGGCTTGTCCCGAGATGTTTATGAAGAGGATTCCTATGTCAAGAGAAGCAAGGTACAGTGCATGTTAAAACTAGTGCTGGAATCCCTGCTTCACCAAGGGACTGGGTTTACACGGAAGCACATGAACACAGAAAACAAAGACAACAGCTAATTCTGATAAGGAAACAGGGAACAAAAGGTACAGATTAAACAAAATGAAGAGCTCTATCATGAAGGCCATTATAAGTAACTAGATTATGCTGTAAAAACAACAAGGAATCTTGTAACACCCTAGGGTATGTCTACGCTAGCTCGTTAGTTTGAGCTAGGTAGACAAATGAGGGCAACCGGAGTTGGAAATGAAGCCTGGGATTTAAATATCCCGGGCTTCATTTGCATGTTCCCGGGCGCCGCCATTTTAAAATCCCCCTTAGTCCGAACTCCGTGCCCACGGCTACACACGGCATGGAGTAGGTAATTCGAATTAGGATCTCTGCACGCGGCACGGAGTAGGTAGTTCGAATTAGGATCTCTAATTTGAATTACCTACTCCGTGCTGCGTGTAGCCGTGGGCATGGAGTTCGGACTAAGGGGGATTTAAAAATGGCGGCGCCCGGGAACATGTAAACGAAGCCCAGGATATTTAAATCCCGGGCTTCATTTCCAACTCTGGTTGCCATCATTTGCCTACCTAGCTCGAACTAACGAGCTAATGTAGACATACCCTCAGAGATTAACAGATGTATGAGGTCAGGAGCTGGAGTGGAAGATTACAGTATCCAGGATATATATAACAGCAAAAGAAGTTACCTGTCAGTTGTAGGACCAGTGTTAGTGAGGCTAATTAAGTTTGGATGGATGTGTCTCATTCGCAGCAGTTGATGTGAAGATACAAATGCTATTTGTATCCTCATCAGGAAATATTAGTTCCTGACCCATCTTTCAGGGTGCAATAATCTTTCTATTTTTCTCTGATGTCCCATAAATACCACATCTACAATCCAATCACAGGACATGGTGACATATGAAGACAGTAGGACCACCCATGTCCTTGTAAGTGGGTTAAACTCCTGGACTATTTCTGGAAAGCATGAATCCCTGTATCTTATAACCATCATTTATCTTGTCTATGTGCTATAACTGTAGTATAGGCAGGAGTCTTAAAAATAATGTGTGATCTATCAATAATAAAGACCAATATGTTCAAATATAACCCTATTTCCTTTGAATTATTTTTTCAGGTAGTATTTTTTTTATAGATATTAGTTTGTAAGTTGCTTAGTCTACGTCTACACTGCAATGCTATTTTGGGATACTAGAGTATCCTGAAATAGCTATGATGCGTCTTCACAGCAAGCCCGTTATTTAGGGTTTGCTGTCCTGATGTCTCTGTAAATCTCATTCCAGGAGGAGTAAGGGACATTTTGGAATAGCGCTTTATTTTGAAATTTGGTGCTGCATAGATGGTGCTTTGTAGACAGCGCCAAATGATGAAATATGCTATTTCGAAATAGCAAGGAAATAATATACGCAATTTGTGTAGCTCAAATTGCATATCTTGTTTTGAGTTACGATGCAGTATAGACGCACCCTTAAGGTACAAAATCTAGGGCCTCATCTTGCTATTTTATATTTCATAAAAGCAATTAGTCTCAATTAGTCTCTCTCTTTTTATTACTGCCAAGCTCACAAAACAAGGGATTGAACAAAAAGGCAGAAAGAGCTAGCAGTCCCTGAAATCAGAACTAATTCTGTCTGAAAACTCTATATTTGGAAACTAAATCCAGATCTTTGTTTCTTGACTGCCTCTACTCAAGCTATGATAATCTGAACCAAAACCCAGATCCAAACATTTCTGAAAAATCCATATCCAAATGCCAAAGCTTGGGCCCATCTTTGCCACGGATAGCAGAGAAAGACAGAGTATCTGCCGGTTTGGAATGCCTCGGCTTCTTTAAAGCAATTTTGTTTTTCCTGTCACAGTAAATTATTATCAGCTGCCTAGAAACAGCCCTGTCTGCTCCCAATGCTCATGGCAGAACTCAGCATATGGTAACATTTCATCTGTAGGATTCTGCAAAGGAAATTTAGTGGAAAGCCTTTCTTGTGGTATTAGGAGAGTGCCTCTCATTGTTTAGTCATATGATGGCTTTCCCTGAATGGAACTACTTTTGTGATAACCTCAGGATCATGAAATAAGCGTCATCCATTACTGTAGCGGATATTGTCCTAACACAGTGAGCCAAATTCTTTTTTAAACCTGCCTGCGTGCAACTCTTACTGAAATCATTGGCTTCTGCATGTAAAAGAGACCAGTATCCTAGCTCTGGCTATGTCTAGACTGCAGTCTTCTTTTGGAAGAAGCTTTTTCGGAAGAGATCTGCGGAAAAACTTCTTCCGAAAAAGAGCACCCACACTGCCAACGCGCATCGAAAAAGCGATCTGTTTTTTTGAAAGATAGCATTCACGCTGAATAGACTCTATCTCACATTTCAGCAGTGATTACTAGGGACAGAGTGGCCACCAGGGCACCTGTGCTTTTTCCTCTTCTTTCGAAAGAACTCCCTCTTCCCCATCCACACACGCCTTTTTCTGAAAGAGCTCTTTCGGAAAAAGGCTTCTTCCTCATAGAAGTCGGAAAAAACCCCTCTGCTCTTTCGATTTTCTTTTGGAAGAACACAATTGCAGTGTGGACGTAACGGAAGTTTTTCGGAAAAAATTCCGTTGTGTAGACATACCTTCGGTGTGTGAAAATCAGTAATAGTATTTTATGTTGACCAGTCAATCTTCTGTGATAATGGGTCTGTCCTCTGGGTGGGTTAGTGTGAAAGTGTTGCCAGCACGAATTCAAGCACATGAGAACTTTTGGCTTCTGCAAATCCTGTGACTTTTTGTCATTTGTT